AAAAAAAAAAAAAAAAAAAAAAAAAAAAAAAAAAAAAAAGAGGAGAAAATAAAATAAAAAAAGAAAAACGAGGGGAAAAAAGAAAAAGGAAAACGAAAAGTGGAAAGAGGGAAAAAAAGCAAAGAGAAGAGGAAAAAGAAAAGAAAAAAGGAAGGAGTGGGGGAAAAAAAAGGGAAGGAGGGAAAAGGAAAACGGGGGAAAAAAGAGAAAGAAAAAAAAGGAATAACGAAAAAGAGAAGAAGGAAAAAAAGAAGAGAAAAAAAGGAAAATGGAAAGGAAAAGGAAAAATAAGAAAGCATTCCAAAAGGGAAAAAACGAAGGAAGACAAAAAGAAAATATAAAATTAAAAAAATATAAAGAAAAGGGAAGGAAAGATAACGGTGGAAAAGGGAAAACAGGGGGCAAAAAAGGAAAAAAGGGGGGAGGACCTCCCCCCCAGCTCCGCCACCCTCGGCGTTTCCCTCGTGCCGGGCAGAGGGGGGGCCCGCAGCGCTGCGCGGGGTCCTGGCGGTGCCCCGGGGCTGAGCCGGTGGCGGAGCGGGCCCGCAGAGCAGGGATGAGGCTCCACCCGCAGGGGGTCCGTCCATCGGCTCCCCCGACACCCCCTGCCAACCCCTTGACCCCCGGAGGGCCCTTCTCCTCCTCCGGGGCCGCCCGTCGGGAGGGGATGGCGATTTGGGGCACAGGCGGCCGGGGGGAAGCTCAACCCGGGCTTCAGGCCCCGCTGCCTTTCCTCTTCCCCCCCAGTTCTCCCGGTTCTCTCCTCCCGCCGCCCCGTGCAGGGCCGGAGCTCCGGGGCGCCCCGATACCCCGGCGATGGGAGGGAAGCCCCTTAAGCCCGGCAATAACTTCCTCTCGTCACCTATTGACTGTTGGGCTTAGGCGCGGACCGGTGTGGGTTTTTCGGGGCCCTTCAAGGAGCCGGTCAATGGGAAGCTAAGCCAATATTTACCGAGTATGAGGGCAATTCTCGGCGGTGTTTATTAAGGAGCCGGGGGGGAGGGTGAAAGG